CACACAGCTGTGAGTGGCGGGTCCGACGAAGTGAACGCATGCGTTGAGCTAGGGAGGACGCAAAGTTGGGCGGAGGTATACCCGACGACGCGGGAGTGAAACGAATTCTCCTGGTAACTTCAGCGTCGTGCCGTAAACCATCTCTGCTGGTGCACATTGCAAGTCAGCTTTGATGCTGCTGCGAGTGCCTAAGAGTACGAGCGAAATGTTTTCGCTCCAGCTAGGGTCGGAGGAGCGCAGAGCGAAGGCTTTAAGCTGTCTATGGAACCGTTCAACTAACCCTTTGGATGCTGGGTGATATCGCTGTGGTATGAATGCGGCGACAGCCTAAAAAGTGCAGAACGTATCGAATGTGAAGATTGAAAGGCGTTCCTCGTCAGTTGTGATGTGGATGGGCATCCGTTAGTGCGAGACCACCGTCCCAAGAAAGGCCCGCATAACAGTCTCTGCTGTGCAGTCTGATACGGAGATAGCTTCTGACCATCTGGTGAAGCGATCGACACATGTAAGAATGTATACTAAACCGCGTTAAAAAGATAAAGAATAATCAGAAAAATACAAAAGGAAGAAAAAAAAATAAAAAAAAGAAGAAAAAAAAAAAAAAAAAAGAAAAAAAAAAAAAACAAAAAAAAAGAACAAAAAAAAAAAACGCCCCCACCCACCCGCACCGCGCCCCCCCCCCCCCACCCTCCCCCCCCCTCCCCGCCCCCCCCCCCCCCTCCCCCTCACCCCCCCCCCCCCCCCCCCACCCCCCACCCCACCCCCCTCACCCCCCCCCCACCCCCCCCCCCCCCCCCCCCCCCCACCACCTTCCCCCCCCCCCCCCCCCCCACCCCCTGCTCCCCCCTCCCCCCACCCTCCCCCCCCCTCCCCCCCCCCCCCCCCCCCCCCCCCCAAAAAGCCTTCGTCCCATGCCCTACCCGTTACCCCGATTCCCACGCGCCCGAGCGATCCTCTCCGCCAAGTCCCACTAGTCCTGCTGCAAAGACGAAGTACTAAGGCGCTCAGCCATATGCCTTCCTGCTCTGCTGCCCCTTAACCCCCTCATATGGAAAATCCGCTAGGACCCCCGCCCCGTAACGGAGCACCGATACCCACATCCCGCACCGCCGGCAGAATCGATGCGATCCGAGTCTATACACGACCGTGCGGCTGAAGGACGCACGGGCACGAGAGGTCTAGGATAACCTGTGGAAGTGTCACAGAGAATGGTTCCTTCAGTGGTTTGGAGAGGAACAGGTTGCACATGCAACGAAGTGGACTGCAGAGTGCGCTGTATGTCTTCGTCTTGAGCCTGAGCCGGTGCCATTGCGGCAAGGTCGACGGTAGGCAAAGACTGCAGAGTAAGGTTGACGCGTGAGAGAGCGTCGGCGACGGGATTGTCGACACCTGAGACATGACGTATGTCAGCAGTGAACTGCATGACAAAGTCTAGGTGTCTTGTTTCCCGTGGTGAGTATTTGTCGCTAGCAGAGTTAAAGGAAAAGATAAGGGGCTTGTGGTCAGTGTAGACCGTGAAAGCGCGGCCTTCGATTGTGTGCCGGAAGTGACGTATTGCTAGGTAAATGGCGAGCAGTTCTCTGCCAAACGTGCTATAGCGGGATTCCGCTGGCTGCATGCGCTTGGAGAAGAACCCGAGGGGTTGCCATTGCCCATCAACGTGTTGTTGAAGGACGGCTCCTAGCGCGACGTTCAAGGCATCTGTTGCAGTAGAAAGTAGTGCTGTCGATTCGGAATGAGCGAGGAGGGCTATGTTGGAGATAGCATCCTTGAGCTCGGCGAAGGCTGCCTGTGCTGTGTCAGGGAAAGCGAACTTACGTTCATTTCCTCTGAGTAAGTCAGTCAGTGGCTGCATGAGCTGAGCTCAGCGCGGAATGAAGCGTCGATAGTAGTTGACCAAACCACAAAATCGACGGAGATGCTTGAACGAAGTCGGAGCTGGGAAGTCCTTGATTGCCTGGATCTTATCAGGAAGGACTTCGATACCAGACGATGAAACGAGGTGGCCTAGGAATTCTACCGTTGATTTGCCGAGTTCGCACTTAGTCGGGTTGACTGTGACACCGTGTTGGGTCAAGCGCTGGAAGAGAATTCGAAGATGCTCGAGGTGCTCTTGTTCCGATGAACTGACTACTAAAATATCATCGAGGTAGGAATAGGCGAAGTCTAGGCCACGAGTGACATCGTGGATGAAGCGTTGGAAGGTTTGTGCGGCGTTGCACATTCCAAATGGCATTCTTAAAAATTCAAACAAACCGAAAGGAGTGATGACGGCTGTTTTAGGAATGTCATTGTCTTCCACAGGTATCTGGTGATAGGCGCGAACCAGATCGATCCTGCTGAAGATCGTCTTACCTGTGAGGCATGTGGTAAGGTCCTGCATGTGTGGGATGGGATACCTATGTGGGACGGTTAAGCGATTAAGTGCGCGGTAATCACCGCAAGGGCGCCAGTCACCAGATTTCTTGGGGACCATCTGCAGGGGCGAGGACCAAGGGCTGTCGGAAGGGCGGATTATTCCAAGTTCAGGCATGTGCTCAAACTCCGCCCTAGCTACGTTTAGTTTCTCGGGCGATAGTCGGCGTGGACGGCATGACACAGGTGGGCCATTCGTGCGTATGTGGTGCGTGACTTGATCTGCCACGGGCAAAGCTGCGTTCATTGGCTGAACGAGCTTGGGATCCTGAGAAAAGAGATTAGCGTAGTGTGGCGAGGTCTGGGGAAATGCATAGACCGGAGATATAGATGTGACATCGGCGGTGATGCCACGTACACTGAGTTTTGTTGCAGCGTCGATTATCATCTGGCGTTTCGCATCGACCAAGAGGTCGAAATGCCTGAGAAAGTCAATGCCGATGATGGCAAAGGGGACTGCAGCGACGGTGAATACCCAGCGGAACGTGCGCCTCAGACTTATGTTTAGGGTAAGTGACCGATGACCATAGGTGGCTTTGTGCGTGCCATTGGCGGCACTGAGGATTGTCCACAGAGAAGTGGTAGGCTCACGTGGCATAAGGGGAATGACGCTGACTTCCGCCCCGGTATCAACTAAGAACTGGGTATCGGAGTCATAATTCTTAATGTAAATGAGACGACTTTGAGCTTTGCTGACACCGTAAGTCGCCATTAAGGGCCGGACTGGAAGTTTCCCTGCTTGGCGGCGGAGAAACTGCATGGTTGCTGGCACTTGCGGGCTTTGTTACCGAAACGCGTGTGGTAAAATCAAAAGCCTGAATTGTTAGGCTTCGTGCAGCGCGTTGATGAGTTAGAGCGGCTGCGCTGCTTACGAGCTAGGGAGAGTTTTTCGACCTCACTTTGTAATGACGCTATTTGCGATTATAAAACGTCGATTGCCGACAGCTCACTAGTCGCGTATGGCGCCGGGGCTGTGACGGGGCTAAGTCCTAGATTCGTTCGCTGGCTGATGTCGTTCCATGACACGATCTGCTAGTTCTGCAACTGCTGTGAGAGGCAGGGCGCTTGCCAAGGCAAGGATGGCTTGTGTGCTTTCTGGGAGACGTTGCATCCACATTTCGCGGAGAATACATTCATCCATGCTGGATGTGCATAGGAGCTGTTGCATCTGTCGCAACAAGGCTGAAGTCATCCTGTCCCCTAGCTGCAGATCCTTAAACAGTTGCTGCAGTCTGACCTTGTCAGAGGGCGTGATTCGCTGAATGATCGCCTGCTTTAAAGTGTCATATTTCGCATCGGGGGGCGCGCAAGCCATGATGTCCCTCACTTGGGAGGATACGCTCTGCGGAAGCCGGGACATAAGTTGATGATATTTAGAATTATCAGATGAAATTTTACAATTGTAAAAAGTGGATTCTAAATGTGCAACTCATAACAACGGGTCCTTCTCCCAAAAAGGTGGGGAGGCTAGCTCTACGGCACTAACCACGTACGTAGATGGTTTATCATCAGCACTATTCATGGTGAGAAATGAATAATTATATGCGGCAAGTGAGAAAACAAAACGATAGCGAGTAATGAATCAGAAAAGCACTGGAACGAGCTCACCAGAATGAAAATTCACAATGGAGGACGGCGTGTTCCTGACAGGGGGTCACCAATTGTTGGGCGGAGCCTAGAATACTAGTCGGTAAGCAATGACACGTAAGACGTGTCAAGTACGACAGTATAGAAGTCGGAGGCGACTGAACCCAACTTATATTGTACAGGCTACAAGAATAGGAAGCGAATCAGACAGAGCGAGAAACGTGCAGCGAGGTACTCACCAAAACGGTTTGTGTCCACGGATGTGCAGTCATTAAAACAGGTGGACGTTTCGAAGGTTAAAACAACCGTAAAATCCGATGTTACAAAATACTGAAAGGGCTTGTTTTCAGGTACACTACAGGCCCGAGTAGGAGACGGTTATTTCGGAAGGTGGCGTACACAGCAACTGATGATTTCACGGATCCAAGTAGTAAAACCGTCTCTACAAAACGTCGCATTTCTAGCGGAGCCTTTGTATAACTGTCAAATCGATAGGCTGAAGTATGTCTGGGTTTGTCATATAGGTGGCTGCTTCAAAAACGGCTAAATCAAGTTCCATGTCAACATGTGTTGTTCTATCGCGTGCAACCACTGTAACAGTACGGATGTCAGGCGTAGGTAGTTTAGGCCCTGGACAAGCAAACAGCTGGCAAGAAATAGTACCTCTGCTATCAACATAACATACGTTTCCAAATAACTGTAAAGCTGACTAAAAACGAAATCAGTATGCGGTGAATGGGAAATGAGTACTGATCGACGACGGCGGGGGAAAAGTCCACCTTTACCATACTATTTAACTATTTAACTATTATAACAGTTGCGACAGAGTGCACGAACCAGGACTGATGAATACGCCGATTTAAAACTGATGCTGCAGCAACAACTCAAACTGATGTCCGTCTTAACCGAAAAGCTCTCAAGTTCTTCCCATCATGCAGGTCCAAGTGCTAATTCTCAGTCAACGGACCATGTGGTTAGCGTTATCAGCGATTTTTTGTACGACGCCAAGACCTGGGTAAGGTTCGAATCTTGGTATAAGCGGTACCAGGACCTGTTCACCGTTGACTTAGCTTTCCAGGACGACCCATGGAAGGTCCGGCTGCTTCTGCGCAAAGTTGCTACACCCGAACACCAACGCTACACCAATTTCATCTTTCCGAGGACCCCACGCGACTTTTCCTTTGACGAGACGGTCCTAATGAGTAGTCCTCCCCGTTCAATGCTCGTTAACAATGTTTACAGCTGACCAAACGTGATGCCGACGACTTCATTATGTACGCGGACGTAGCCAACTGTGAACGACAAACTTTTCAACTTGGCTCACTCACGGAGGAACAATTCAAATGCCTGGTTTTCGTCCCTAGCCACCAGTCTCCACACGATGCCGATACCCGGAAGCGCCTCCTGTCCAAGCCAAAACAGGATAGCTCAGTCACACTCTAGAACTTGGCCCAGGAGTGTCAAACGCTGCTCAACCTGAAGCATGACTCTGCCATTATCCAGAACGCCGCCGCCCCTGGTATGGTCTAGGCAGTCACAGCACCGAGGGCGCAATCGTCCGCGCACCCCACCAAATCCGCCCGAGCGAAGTCCCTACCCTACGCGTGCCGATTCTGTGGTGCTTGGCATTTCCACCGCGAATGAAATTTCCGCCAGCATCGTTGTCAACGTTGCGGCAGGGTGGGGCACCGGGATGGTTACAGCCATCCCACACCTGCTAAGGGGGCCAAAACGGGGATGGCCCCCACCAGCGATCCAAAGAAGAGGTCCCGACCCAGCCACACACCCAAACCTGGTTCGGTTGGCAGCTCCGTGAGCTTGCTGGCCACGTTCCAAATAAACGCTACGGACCAGAGAAAGTTCGTCGACGTCTTGATTAATGCCCAGTCGGTCCGATTACCGTTGGACACTGCGTCGGACATCACGATCGTCTCCGAGGATCTCAGGCGATCCCTTGGTAAGCCACCATTCGGACCGATCTCCCAATCTAGCAGCAGCACCTGCGGTGGTCGCCTGCAGCTAACTGAGCAGCTGCACTGCTCCGTCACCTTTCGAAGCGCTACGTTCAACGCGCTCTGCTACATCACGAAGGCGAAACTCAACCTGCTTGGTCTTGACTGCCTCGAAACCCTTGGCTTGACCGATCTTCCTCCTCGGGCCATCTGCAACGCAGTACATTCTGCCGCAGTACCAAACAACAGAACCGATGAAAAAGTCAGTCAGTCCGCCCCAGTGTTCCAGGATTGTCAACAAGCCTCAAATAAGCCACCACCCCAATCACCAGTTCCTTGGCATCCGCCACTTTGACTTGTCTCCAACGCATATTCAGTCAACATGGCCTTCCCGAGGTTTTGGTGTCCGACACCGGTACCCAGTTTACGTCTTCCATCTTCGAAGACTTTTGTCGTGGACACTGCATGCAACACTATAAAGCGTCCACGATTTCAATCTCAGGGACGTTTACGCAGTCGATGAGTAGGTCGGAACGGTAATAAAGAATTACGCCCCCTCCATTTGTGGGTCAATCGTTGCGCAAGAGTGACATTTCAGATAAAGCGATCTCGGCAACGGTAATCACGTCGGGAAATCATGTCTCGGTTACCATGATGAGGTCACAACATATTGTGTTTTGACGGGATCGAATCCCGGCCAACTAATTGAGAAGGTCTTGTGCGGTTGGGTATAAACAATTTAGTGGAACGGGTGCCAGAAGGGCATCTGAACACAAACGTTTCCCGTTCATTTACGCCGATCCCTGTGGGGACGTATACAGTGAATACAAAATGATATGCATTGCTAACTACTGCTGATATGTTATTTTATCCACACGGGCAATTTAAATAGAGTTTTATGTTAGGGCACATAAGTCGTCCAGGTCTGTGTGTCCGGAGAGAGTTTAAGGATGTGCCAGACCGAGTTTCGTACCGCTATACATTCGCGTGTTCTGCTTCGCATACGAGACCAAGTTTCTCTGCTGGACAACAACCGGTTTTGTACTGGCCGACTAAATGTTGGCATTCGCTAATTGTGTATCGTCTGTCAGAAACGTGCAGTTGTTTGTCTGACCTAATGGAGTCAATACGTTGTAACGTATAATCGTCCTCATTGCATCGGTACTTTTCACGCCGTGTCCTGCATGGCAAATGTATTCGAAGAGTAGGACTGCGTGATGGCTGCTGCCCGATGTGTCGCCACTGATCGCTCCGTCGCTCATCAGTTCTTTGCTGGTGAATATCCGATCCGATGTATACGGCCTATCTGTCTCTCTTAATCTGGTGGAAGTGTTGATGTGGTCGTATAGGGGAAATGGTGATGACACCTTTTAGATCCGTCTTGTACTGTTCTCCAGGAGCTGCTTAAGATC